ATTTTTCATCTGCTTAGAAAAACGAAGAAGCCTAAAAATCGTTGTGTATCGTTGCGTCTTTTTCGATGCTTTTGTTACAGAATGCGATCTCCCGGAATACGCGGAGGGAGTACTGCGAAGTGCAATCGGGAAAACGAATCTTTTACTTGATAAGAAATTGGCGACATTTGATGATTTGGTCCAGAAACACTTGGTTTGTTTTGCACCATTTTTTCGAATAATTACTATTGCGTTCAGTGCGTCAAATTGCTCGTGTTTGGTTTATTTGCTGCTATATGGTTTATCGTACTCGTCCTTCCCTGATCAACTGTTGATTCTTCCTTTCTATAGAATTAAAATTAAATTGAAGTTTAGCGAAATGATTTCGCTATTTTCGATTAGAAAGTTGAAGTTCAAACATTTGTCACTCCATCGGCGTGACCCTCAAATTGTTGTATGCTTGACTAGAACAACTTTTTATTTGACGCATATACAAAAGTGAATTGTTTTTTTCTCAACTGAGAACTATTTCATCTTTTTGGTGCAGGAATGTGTGAAAGATAACATTAGGTGGTGTTTGTCATATTCTAGAATCAAGGCGCTCACGACCCACAACGGGTGTTGCTTGATGACCTGGCAGGTTACTGGGCGCTTATCAGCATGCAGTTGGATCAGCTTGAGGAGGAGTTCAGAGAAATTAGCTTACTTCGCGAGAACAACTGGATTCAGCAGACTTCTCCAAGTGGGTATGTATAATTCATCAAAAACTGTACGACTGATATGAACAGAGTTGTTCCCCTCCGAAATATTTTGCTTGTTCCAGCGCAGCCGACACGAACAGCGCTGAAGTGAAACATGGACGAGCAGTTTGTCCGCCAGTTGCAAATGGTGAAAGGCTGTCGCCGGAGCCACATTCCACACAAAGTTCTGCTACTATCCCAACTCGTCGTGAAAAAAAGCTTGTCAAAACGCGGAAGTAGTCTGTGCTTTGATTGCATCGCACCAAAACAGTTCGACGACCGGTCCTCTTTGTGAATATTGAACTGGGTTTTTCAAAATCATAGCAAATAATGCAAGGCTCTTCTTAAATTTGCATTTTGATTTTTC